ATTACGAATTTTTATTCTTTTTTCTGAATTTTTTCTTTTTATATTAATTCTTAATATAATATTATTTATTTTTTTACAAACAAAGAAAAATATAACTTCGCACTTAGCTTATGTTTGGTACTTACAAATAGGTGTTTTTATGTTTCTAACTCTCTTACGACTGACTTTTTTTAAAAAAGGAAAAATTAACCGGCGTCATAATTTTTCCTTACTTTTACAAAAAATATATTTAAAAACATTGATCGATATTTTTTTTTTAAATGGGAAATCAAATTGCTTATTCTAGTTTTTTAAAACAAAATTTATTACGGTAGACTTGTTGCGTAATAAGATAAGTGAAAAAAAATTAATTTTAATACCAAAATTCTATTTAGGTACAAAAAATTATTTTACTTTAAGAAATCTGATTCTTAGGACGTCTGGCTTAAGCCACCATGTGTGATTTAGAATAATTAAAACAAGAAAACAAAAAAAGAAAATAAAAGTTATTTTTGAAGTTTATTTTAGGAAGAGGATATTGTGTAATAGTTAAACAGAAAACGAAAGTATATTTTGGAGTATTGTATGTTGGATTTTTGGGTTATATTGGAAGAGGATATATAACTTGCACCAAAAGGCAGACACACCGACAGGTTGCTAAAAATAGTTTATTTACACTTCCCTATCATGGAGAAGTGCGTTCCCACCGACAACTCGATATGCAAAATTTGTTGCTATCACATAACCTACCTATTGTATACACAAAGCGGTGGCTAAAAAGAAAGAGAAGTTTATGATTACTTACTATACTCCACTACCCAAGAGGTCTCAACATTAATTTTTTCCATTTTGTCTTGCTGAAATGGGATACCAGAATCTTGGTGTATATGAAAAAATTACTATGAATAAAAACAACAAAAAGAACACAAAAATTTGGTATACACACAATTCTTTGCATTCTTTCAAGTTATACATATGTATGTATATGTATAGGTATACATAATACATATCTACATTCATAAATTCGAAATATTAATAAGATTATTATATGCATTTGTACGTACCGCTGCTTTTCGATATTTTTTCGTTTGAAATAATTGAAATTGTAAAATTTTGGAACTTTATATGTACATTATAGTTCCGTTCGTACAATAGGGAAGGCTGTAAATACTTAATCGCTTGAATTTAAAGTTCTTATGCTGTAATAAACACACATGATTAAAATGGCATGCAAAACATATAAATATAAATTTAATTTAAAAGAAAGATTAGAAAAGTGTGTTATTTCGAATTGCTTTCAAAAACGAAATTCCAATAATAATTTTAAACTTTTTAAATTTCCTAAGCGAAAAAATATTTTGAATATTTGGCCTTCTAATTGTAATCTGAAACAAGAAAAAATAAAAAATAAATTCATATGTAATAAGCATTTTAATTCAGATTGCATTGGAACTAAATATTTGAAAAAAAATGCAATTCCAACTATTTTTGACTGGGAGCCTAAATATAGGGAGATTCCTGAAAATTTATTGAGTTTTCCTAATACTAAATTAAAAAAATGTTGTGCCAAGGAATGTACTAACTGTAATAGGACCCATAAAATATTTAAATTTCCCACCGATTTCACTTTAAAGCAAACTTGGTTAGAAAACTGTGGATTTAATTCAAGTTTTTCCACTCAAAATAAATATATATGCTCCAAACATTTTATTTTAAATAACAGATATTTTAAAGAAAAAACTTAGAAAAAAAGCAGTACCCTTACTTAATCTATTCAATCCAAAGTTTATTTTTGAATTTAACGACGAAGACAATGATTTAATTAAAAAGAAATATCTAACTTTGTACCACTTTCGATTTCATGAAAACTGTCGAAAGATTCTACTATTTTATATATTACAGTTCACATTATAAACGTTTCACGTAAATGATAATTATTGTAATAAAAATTTACATAATTTTCGTAATATCATATTCATATAATATACATTAATACATACATATATAATTATAATATATACATATTTCTATAATGGCACAAATTTTTGTCTTTTTAAAATTTAACATTTTTTGTTTGATCTTTATTTGTATTGTATACCTACGTATACATACATTCAAATAATCATAAAAAAAAATCAAGATATCGTAAATAAAATCATTGTTCAATTGAGGAACGATATTCTTTGTTTTTCGTTTTTTCTTTTTTCTACGTTCATATTTTTTCATATACACCAAGATTCTGGTACCTAGTTTTCATGTTTGAATTTTTTCCATTTGTTCGGCTTGAATATTCTTCAATTACTTATTTTTCTATGCCATAACTCACAGAGAGTAAATTATTTTTGTTAGTCTTTTTTCATGTAATACTTTATGCTTTGTCAATGTTTCGTTCCTGATTATAAAAATTTTCTTTTGTTCGTGTTGATCTTGTAATTATAATGTCTTTGCTGAAACCTAAAAATTTTTAAATTAAAATGAAATTCAGAGGTTTCTGAACGAGAGATCGAAAATTCAATTTTCAACTCGAAATTTTAACTTTTAACTAATTTTGATTAAATATACTTTCGATAAGAGAAGTAAATAATGAAAAACACTGAAGAAGAAACAATTATGCTATATTTATGCATATTTGTGCATATACATAAATTAAATAAAAATTTTAATAGATTTTAAATATGAATTTTAATTTAAATTAAGATTAGATTTTATATATTAAATAATTATAAAAATCCAAAAGCAGCATGATTGTTATAGCAATTATATTGCATAAATAGTTATACAGTGTGTTTCCATAAAGTGGCAAATAATTCCATTGATGATTCTTTGATCAATTTTGAGGGAGGGGATGCTGCAAATATACTCGTTTTCGAGCAACAGCCTGTTGAAAAAAAGCTACCAGATTTTTCCTGCATACAAATAAATGTTTATAGCTTCCGAACCATGCGACATAGTGTAACCGTAGTTTTTTGATCTGTGTCATAGTTTTCTAGATAGAGCTCGTCAGTCATGATTTCCTTTTTTTTGTTTGATATTATAAAAAATTCGAAATTTCTCGAAATTTGTGTTATTTTTTTTTTGTTTTAATTTTTTCGTTGCGCCGCAATAAGATCTAAAAATTAACCCATATAACATTTTGCTCTATCTCTCATAGTTTTTCCCGTAAAACGTGTTAAATGTGTTTAAAACATGCGAAAAATGCCTATTTCATACATTTCATGCAAACATAACATTCAAAAATATTTTTTTAGTTTAATATGTATAATAAGAAAGTTGTATTACAAATTTATATTTAATTTGAATAAATAACTTATTAACTTTATTTAATTACATATCTATTTGATATAATTGCATATTCATATTAATTTAGTTTATATAAGTTAATGTTTTTCCTTATATGTTTATAAAAAAGAACAATTTTGTTAATTTCTCGCACGGGCTTACACGCCGGTGCTTGTTTATTTATTTCTAATAAAATACTAATCAGATTTACTTAAAAGCTAACAATATTTATAATTTTATAAAATGTGCAATCAGCACATTTTACATGGGAAAAATAATTTTATTTAACTTAACTTTAAAATTAAGCAAAGTGCAATATGAGATTTTTATTTTGAATATTTGTCTGGGAATAATTTTGTAATATGAATATTGTTAAATATTTATGGGAACAGAAGTTTTAGCTAACGTTGTTAACTTATATATAATAGCATTATATGATAATTAATAAATCACCATAACATTCATATACGAGGACTAAAATATTCAATCACATTAAATCTTGAAAAAGCAAAAACATAAATATATAATATAAAATGTATAAATATTTATGTGTTTATATTGAAAAATATTTTAATTTTTTTAGTTAAGGTTTCTTCCAGTTATTTTTACCGACCGTATTGTGTAAACAATAGGTAGGTTATGTGATGGCAGCAAATTTTGCATATCGAGTTTTCGGTGGGAATGCATTTCTCCATAGTAGGGAAGTGTAAGTAAACTATTTTTAGCAACCTGTTGGTTCGTCGGTCTGTCGGTCTGTCGATCTGTCGGTCTGTCGGTCTGTGGGTCTGTGTGTGCATGCGTGTATCTCAAGTTCTGCTTAACCGATTTTGATGAAATTTTATATGTAAGATTATTTCCACCATGGCACGGATCGATCAACTTTTGGGATATATCAGGCCTCGGGAACTGCACTTTTTAGCGGGCCTGTTTTACATTTTTGAACATTTTTAAGAAAGTATTCACCCGATTTACTTGAAATTTCATATATAAGCTTTTCTCGACCGTCCGCAAAAATTCCTAACTTTTGGAAGAAATCAGGCATCAGCAACTGGACGTTTACTACGGGCCAAATAAACATTTATGCGTATATAAAGGGAAATAATCAACCGATCTCATTGAAATTTAATACTTGAATTCCTCGTATTAAAGCAATGTACATATAAATTTTTTGGAAAGATCAGGGCTCGAAAACTGATTTTACATTTTTCACCTTATCTACGGAACGAAGTGATGAAATCTCTTGAAATTTAATATTTGAGTTCTGGTTAACTGGCCAGCATTTCAGGGAATTCGGGCAGCACAAAGCGAAACTCTACTAAGAGCCAAATTTACATTTTTTTAGGTATGTTAACTATAAGCTTACTAATGACCTAGAAATTGAAAGGAAGTATTTTAAAGACATTTTTATAATATTCTGTAACTCTTTCATTTAACTAGACAATATACAATGCGGTCGGTTATGTGCTGACCACATCAGATTTTTTATTCTTAGTTTCGTTGGAAATTCTTCCTGTTATTTTTTATTCTTAGTTGGATTTATGAAAGTACTGCCAGTAAGCTCTTTCTTATTGAAGTGCCAGCAAAATATTAGTGATTTTAAACCTACTTAACTTTGAAAGCTTAATAAATACTTTTGTAACAAAATGCTAATATTTTTTCAATTGCTGAATTACAAGTATATTATGAAAAACATCGAACTTCAATTGTTAAAATCAAAATAATTTAAAAGAACTTTTTTTCAGATTAGCAACGGTTATGTATTACAAATTCAAATGCCAGGTAATAAATCATGTTATTATATTAATTTCAATGACTTCTTAATTATAAATTGAAGTGCAACATTTCAATGATAGTACTTTCATTATTTTGTATTTCTCACTCTGGTGAAAACGGAATGGAAGATTTACATGCATGTTTGGTCATGGTAAAATGAAGTAAAATTGCGGTGAATGGGCTTACTCCTCTTTCCTACCCACCCACCGATATATTAAAATTAACATTTGCAGTAGTAGTTTGCAAGGCCTAGTAAGGCTGGGAAAGGGCTCGTTGGAAAGGTGTCGGTGGAAACTTTAAACGTGCGAGTTACGGCTGTATACACATCTATTCATTGTTTAAAAGTGATGCGAGCAAAACCTATAACTTAAGTAAATTCTGGTCACATTTCGCAATATTGTGTCTAAATTTGAAGCAACTCTTGAACAAAACTTGACGGCAATAACTTTTGAGCATATATAAAAATTGAGTTTTTACCGAGCTAGTGCCTTGGTTTCATACACATACATAACTAGATAGGTTTACTTTATTTGTATTCAATTTACTCTTTAAACTAATTAAAGGCAGAGGAATCCTGCGTATGTTTACATAAAAATTTACTATGTAATGTAAATATGAGCATATAAAAATATGTCTATGCATATAAGCATGAATAATATATTTTTGCATATTTAATATATTTGCGTCTTAAGTTTAGTTCCCTTGTTTGCAGAAAGGTCTTTTAAAAGAATTTAAAGTTCGCAAAATTCAGTTACGAATGAAAGCTGCCATAATTTTTCACAACACGACTTCCATGTTCATCGAGCTGTCGTCACGCACACAATAAAATTAGTGACTCTTGTCAATTTAAAATATTAATTTGATTATAGATCTGTGTGGTACAAGAAAGTTTTTAAAAGCTTTATAAAGTTTTTGCATGCAAAGCGTCTGGGATAATACTTTTTAAACAAAAATGAGAGAAAATGATGACACTCTCATTTTCTTAATGTTTAAAGTTCCTTAAAGTTTTGTAAAGTAAAATTTAGTGTTTTAAAAACTTTAAAAATCTTACGGCTGTCGTAACACATCTTTTCTTGGTTATGTCGGAAGGATTAATTTTGTGAAAAAAAATCAACATCAACAATAACTTCTTTTTTCAAAACTCTTCAATTAAAAATAAAATAACCAAAATGGGTTCACAAAGGGTTTTTTCTAAGTTTCACACTTATATAATCCAAAATCAAAATTTGCGGTTTTTGTTATAACCAAAAAATATTTGTTTAATCACATATTTATAAAGTTGTTAGGAGTTTTTTCAAGTTTTCCGTCTGGTTTATTTTTTTTTTTTAAATGAAAATTTTTGCGACAAATTGTTTCTCTTTTTAAAGTTAAGTTGTTTCTCTTTTTAAAGTTATTTAAAAATAAATAATAAGAAAAAGTTTTTATTATCCATAATATCGTATTTGTATTACTACTGCAAGTAATACAAATAAGGTATTATTGAACACAAGCAGTGAACGCACCTGTTCAGTACCTTTTTTCATTTCATCTATATCGGAAATTATAGTATTTGACTATAACCCTGTTCTTAGCGCTTGATGTTACCAATTTTAGAATGTTCCTAAGAGTTTGATTAAAAAACAATTAGTATTACATGTCTATGTATAAATTTATGTAAGTATTATAGTTGAATTAAGATATTAACTATTATATTACAAATATCAGTATACGGCACATCGTAAAAGAGATCTGTATAATTTTTATCCGGTCTGTTTTCTTACAATTATCACCTTGTGGCTTTAGATCCGACCGAAATCAATATTAAACGCAAAACAAAAATTTTAACGCAAAACAAAAAATTTTGAAAAAATTTCGTAAAGCTTACACTTCTTATTAAACCTAAACATTGAAGTATGCAATATCCAACAATAATAATACAAGCGAGCATACTGCAGTTTTAATATGGCGCTAGTATTAAATTTCTTTCTTTGTTGTATGGATATTTGTTGACTTTGCTTATTTAAAAGAAACTAAAATCCTTTTTTCATTTTAACATCTGCAATAAAACCATTTATGTTTTTTACTAAAATGTATAAAAAAAATTTTAGGGCATACTGTAGGTGACTGTTTGCGAGAAGATTTAATAAAAGATCTCAAACTAATAGAAAATTTATGTCAGGAATATGATGTAATTTTCTTATTAACAGATTCAAGAGAAAGCCGTTGGTTACCCACCGTTCTTGGAACATTCTATAAAAAGGTAGTTATTTTCAAAAATCTCCAAAATTTTAAATTTTATGGTACAGAAATTTGTAGATTGTAATAAACGTGGCATTGGGTTTTGACAGTTATTTGGTTATGAGACATGGAAGTAACATATATGATAACATAACCACTATTAAACCTGAAGACATTAATGATTTAAAATGTATTAATGGAGCGGATCTCGGATGTTACTTTTGCCAGGACATAACTGCACCTGGTGATGTGCGTAAGTGAATTTTTGCCATATTGTATTTAAATAAAAATGCATTTTTAGTCAATGAAAGACAGAACGTTAGATCAACAGTGCACTGTAACAAGGCCCGGGGTTTCAAACATAGCTTCGAGCTATGCAGTTGAATTGTTAGTAGCTTTGCTACATCATAAAGATAAAAATTCGGCACCAGCTTATTTCTCTCTTTCTGGAAAATCGCAAGAAGCAGTTCCGGAAGGATACTTTGGAATATTACCACATTCAATAAGAGGTACCTTAGGAACATTCGAAAATATTATGCCTGCAACAAGAAAATTTTCGCAATGTATAGCGTGTTCCGATGTAAGTCAGAAAAACATCTTTCAACTCGTTAACTTAATTCTGATACTTTCAGATAATTTTGAACGAGTATCGAAACCGCAATATTGACTTTCTGCTGGATGTTTTTAATTCAGCACAATATTTACTTGATCTCACAGGAATATCTGAGTTTGAAGATCTGGACAATAACGTAAAATTGTTTTGCAATCTTAGGAGTGTGCAAAATTGCTTAATATTATATATTTTTATGAATTCGTAGATTATTGAGTGTGATGATGATGATTGGGAAGAATAATTTACCAGTCCCACTTGGATCTTTTACATTTAAAAAATCTAACTGTCAAATAGAGCTTCATTGGATTCTTTTGGTTGCAGCTTTTCCATTATAAATTTAAATGTACTATATTTTAAGAAAGTCATTATTAAAGAATGCAAAATCAAGGCAAAATTAATGTACTTAATTATTATTTTAAATTGTTTTTTAAAGTTCAAGAAAAAATGGAAGTTATATTGGTCTAATGATGAAAAATTGATAGGAGCCAAAAACCGCACTGTCACCTCCTAGGGTGGGCCCCGGTAATGGCGGAGGATAAAGGGGTGATTGAAACGATCAAAGTTACGTTCGTGTCGTGGTCATGTCTCGCGGCGAGGCTCTTACTTTGTGAGTTTCAGCCCTATATCTATACGTCAGCTGACGACAGGCGTCCCAAGTCAAGGTGAAACAGCATATACCGATGACTGCGTGGCTAACGGGGAGCTTAGTCGTTAGTATGCGGACTCTGGATACCAGGCGCCCTCCAGTTTAAACGAGCCTTCTCATGGTACCCCGGGCTCTGCCATGGGTGACTTTTTCCCGCGCTATTTCTGGGACCAAAATGGAAAACATAAACAATAACAGCAAAAACAGCAACTACAAAAACAACAACTGTGACAAACACAACAACTGCAACAACAACAACAACGACAACAACAACAACAGTGACAATTACAACAACAACAACAATACTAAGGACAACATAAACCCAGTTAGTGCTCATGGGTCTTCGGAATCAGAGATTCTCCCGACTGACGCAGAGGAGAAACTCCTTCTAACGCCAGTAGAGGAAAAAGCGGCGCCTCCAATGGAGACGGATAATCAGGATCCTCTTTGACCTATTAACTAACAAACTGAGGAGGACCTGAAAAGGTTGGACATCAGGGGAAAAAAACAATATATCTCTGGTGCATCCAAGCGGCCTATCGCGGCTTATATCAGGGATGGCATGTCTCCAGAGGAAGCTCGCAGATATGAGAAGGAAAGGCTGGAAAAGCTGAAGGCCTGCGGATCGGGTGTTGTGGTCGACCATCCCCAGAAGAGGGAAAGGTCGGAAAGCAACACCCCTGATGCAGGGCCCTCAAAAAAGAGGTCGATGAAGGGCAATGTTGAGGAACATTCCCTGGGAACATTCCTCAACAAAACCCGAAAATGATTTCTTATTGGGATGCAGTAGCACAGGTCAAGGTGGCCATCACTCATGGACTGCATCCAGAGGAAAGGGTATCCGAAGTTCAGATGGGGAAAATCAAAGTAGCCATCATGGATGAAATGGATAAAGTTGTGGACTCTCATCCACAATTCACTGCAGCGTTGCAAAGGGACGGATGGATATCCGTAACATGCAACAATCAAAACACCAGGGAGTGGATAACCAGTGTCTGCAGGAAGATAAAGCCTTGGGACGGTTGCGACGTCACCTTTTCCGTGGATGATTCCGGATGGAAAGATGTACGGAAAGCTGAGTTCCGACTTTTCCTGAATTTCTTCCGTGTTACCGTTAAGGGTTAAAGGAAGAAAATCCTCTCAAGGTGCTGGCGGCAGGGCAGGACAAAATAAAAAACCAATGCCCACCGCGACAACGACGAGCACTACAACGACGAGCCAACCAAAAGAGCCAAAACTCATTGGAAAGTCTGAAGTCGCTCCGGAAAAGGCGGCAAGGGAAACGGAAGGATCATCGACCAGCAAGCCAAATACAAGCGTCCCGTGTGAACCAAAAGGGCTCAAGCCTAAGGGAATCCCGGAACTGCTTCTATATTTGCTGTTGGAGGGACTAGCGTGGCACCTGGGACGGCAAAAGAGGCTGTGGCAGGGTAAGCGCCCACCAAGATGTGTAAAAAGGCGGCAATGGGAGGTAAGGCTCATGTAAAGCCTTTGTCTAAAGGTCCAAAGCCCATAGACAAGAGCCGGAGGAAATAATATGGCTGTGAGGTGCATCCAAATAAATCTACAGCATGCTAGGGCATCTGCTGATGTTCTGGCTCATAGATTTATGAAGGATCACCTCGATATCGCCCTTATCCAAGAGCCTTACATAGTGAAGGATCAGGTTAAGGGCCTAACAGGTGAGCTATTGTATGATAATACAATTGGGGGCAGGCCTAGGGCTTGCATCTTGTTTAGTAAAAAGCTAACGTATTTTCCCATTCCAGATTACTGTTCTAAGGATCAGGTAGCTGCGTTGGTGAAGGTGAAGTCCTGCGGGGGCTAGACAGAGTTCATTGTGTGCTCATCCTACCTCCCGGGGGACTGTGCCCACCCGAACGAGCAACTGAAGGATCTAGTGGACTTTTGTGGAAGGAGGAACTTCCAACTTATAACAGGAAGTGATGCCCAATGCCCTCCACACCGTCTGGGGAAGCAGCAATATAAACAAAAGAGTTGAGTGCCTACTTGAATTTATATATAGCAATAAATTAATGGTTATGAATGAGGGCAATAGGCCGACATTCATAAGTGCAATTAGGGAAGAGGTCCTTGACATCACCCTTTGCACTGGATTTATCGGCAGTAGGGTTGGTGGATGGCATGTCTCAAATGAGACATCCATGTCCGATCATAGGCAGATTAGGATTGATATCATGGTCTCCGGGGGCCTGGCAGAAGAAATATATCGGGTGTCCCAATTCACAGATTGGAGTCAATTCGAAACGCTCCTCACGGATGGGATTGGATCCGTTCCTGCTTCTGTCAGAACGGTGATGGATATCGAACTGGCCAGCGAAGCCCTGACGGCGGCTATTACTAATGCCTACCACGGGAGCTGCCGCGCTAAGCCGAGGCGGAGCAATAGGAAGTGCCCGTGGTGGAATGAAGAGCTTTCAAGGCTTAGACTAAAGACCAGAAAGCTATTTAATAAGGGCAAGGCGTCGGGTTCGTGGGAGGAGTATAAAAACTCACTCACAAAATACCATAAAGAAATTAGGAAAGCGAAGAGAATCTCGTGGAGGGCGTTCTGCAAGGGCATTGATGAACTCTCCAGCAGTGCGCGTCTTCACAGGGTGCTTTCCAAAAAGTATGTTAGCGGGTTTTGCCTAATAGAACGCCCTGATGGCTCCATGACTGAGAACGGAGAGCAAACGTTGGGGCTTATGGCATCAAAGCACTTTCCTGACTCGGAGATTCTTCGGAATCACTCAAATGCGGTCATTGAACCGAGGGCATCCTGGCCCAGGAGGGATGACTGGCAACGATTCCGTCTAGTCTTCATGATGGGTTGTTTTCTCTTTCAGGCCCTTCAAATCTCCAAGTGATGACGGGATATATTCTGCATTTTTGCAGAGGGGTTTCCAACATATCGCCAGAGCACTTGCAGGAGGGTGGCTAAAGTGACGTATATTCCGAAGGTGGGTAAGCGACCAAGCAACCACCCAAGGTCTTTCCGTCCAATCAGCCTTACTTCTTTTCTATTGAAAGCAATGGAAAAAGTGATTGATAGATTTATACGGGACGATGCACTGGGAAGCAATCCCTTGCATGAATCTCAGTACGCCTATCAGTCGGGAAGGTCTACTGTACTCACCCTGCAGAGTCTGGTGGGGGTCCTCGAAAACCCACTGGAGGTGCGGGAGGTGGCGGTTGGCTGCTTCCTTGATATAGACAACACCCCATATCATGTCATCTGAGAGTCGTTGCACAGACGAGGGATTGATGCGGATAGGATTATTAAGTCCACCATAGCTGACGATATAATCTTCATCTCCGCTGCAAAAGGATGTCCACAGGAAGGGGTTCTTTCGCCCCTCCTATGGTCCATTGTAGTGGATGCTTCTAATCGCTGCTCTCAGGGGCGCGTGTCTGGGGATACGCCGACGATGTGGCCTTCGTCGTGCAGGGAAAATTTGAGAGCACTATTTCTGATCTTCTACAGCAAAATTTACGTGTAGATAGAGTTAACTTGTGGACGTGTAGGAGTTTCATCGGGGGGACCTGGGGAATTAGTCCCAGAATAGCACTGTGGCTATATACGGCCCTTGCTAGGCCCATCGTCACCTATGCGTCGATTGTATGGTGCCGTAAGCCTCAGCAGGCGGGTGTGCGGGCCAAGCTGGAAAAGCTACAGAGGCTGGCCTGCCTGGGAGTGACCGGAGCAATGCGGACGGCTCCCACCGCTGCATTAGAGGTGATGGTTGGATTGCCGCCACTGCACCTCCATATATTGGAGGAAGCTCGGCTAGTGACTTACCGACTTCTCTCTGGCGAGGACGGGGCAGGGCTAAAGTTGGCCCACAGAACTCACAGAGACTTCATTGAGAGCGATCCGATTTTAAGAATAACCATGTCGGATACCTGTCTGCCGCGGTACAACTTCGACCATAGGTACAGGGTTGTGTTTCCCGATCGATTGACGTGGGATTGGGGTGGTCCGGTGCTTAGGTCGGGTTCGAGCGTGTGGTATGCGGACGGGTCCAAAACGAAGTCGGGTGTGGGTTCGGGCGTCCAAGTGGACTCCGTATACGCCCGAACCCTTGTTCTCAGACAGCAGGGCTGCACTGCTGGCGCTTCGTTCAGCTCAGGTTGCATTCAAGCTGGTCTGGAGCTGCTTCGCTGCACTTATGGAATTGGCATCGGAGAACAGAGTGACGCTCATTTGGGTGCTGGACCATAGTGGCCATGCGCGCAACGAAGTTGCTGATGAGCTGGCGCGGAGGGGATCTGAGGCAGCCGCTGCCTTTCTGCGATCTGCCTTCTTCCGCCGTGGGGCCAGGCTTGCCTGCCTGCTCGCGACGGAATGCGGCCGTCACTGGCGGGACACGGAAGGGTGCCGTCATGCGAAAGTGTTTCTTTCGGCGTGTTCCAGCGGGTTCACCGCAGAGTTGCTGGGGATGAGCAGGAGCCGGGTTCGCACTTTTGCGAATTTCTTCACGGGGCACTGCCTAGTGAAGTACCACCCGCATAGGCTGGGGAAGTCGGGTTCCCTCCTGTGCAGATTTTGTGGGGGTGGCGATGAGACCGCCGTGCACATTCTCTGCGACTTGTCCGCCGAACAGCCAGTCCGGAACTGGGACGGGAATTCTCTAGACGGGAGAGTGGAGGGGCTACAATAAGTCAAAAATGGCTGCGGTGGCTTGGGGGGTTACTCCTGTCCCACTCGGTTCCCTTAGAATCTACGAATCTACGATGA